ACCTTTGGGACATGGGTGTAGGCAGCCTTGGGGGTTTGGCTGGAGGGTCTGACATTCCTAGGAGAAATCCAGGGGCTAGAGCAGGGCTAGGGGAGGAAGTCCTGGATTCAGAGCACTTTACATGCTGGGTCTCTGGCACCTTTGGGACATGGGGTGCAGGCATTGGTCCACATTCTGGCTCTTTTTTTGATTAGCTGGGTGACCTTGGGCAAGCTACTTCAACTTTCTTCACTTATAAATGGTGACATCAGAACTTATTTCCAACAGGATTGGTTGCTTTGATCACGAGTCAGTATGAACACAAATAAAATGGGTAGAGTGCCTGGATCCAAACAGTGCTCCATGATGAGGAGCACACCAGTTTCTTTCCTATTTAAGTACACCTGTTTCAGTGAACTTCTCAGGCATGGAACAATGGGGGAGGTAGGACAAGGGAAAGGAGACTTACTCCATGAAGCTAGCCATGTTTCCCCAGCACAAGGATGCGATCAGCAGCACAGACTGCCCCTCCTTGTGTTTCAGGTGGAATCCCTCTCGCCCCAGTAAGGTTTGTAGTATGGCTCTGGGAGCACCCATGGTGCTTATTAAAATACAAGTTCCTGGGCCCCACCCAGAATCACCCCATCAGCATCTCATAAGCACCACTCAGAACTCTGCACTTTAAACATCACACCCCCTCTCTGCCCTCAATCTTACAGGCAAAGAACCTTCTTGAAGGCTGTCTTCTAACAAGAAATAATTACTGAAGGAGAGCACTTTGGAAGAACATTAAGGGTGATTATCGTCATTCTTTACCTCAAGTAATCATTTGGCTTCTTTAGTTTAGATAATCCAGCAAATTGTTTAACGTTTCATTGGCCAGACAATGCCCCTCATCTTACACAGGCAGGTTTGCTTTAGGGGAAATATACATCCATTTCACTCAGATATATGAAAATCTTAGAAAAAAATATCTATGTAAGTTGACATGGTTATTACTGTTTGTTATGTTAGCCCAAAGGATTTTTGACAAGGGATGCGATCGCTCTCTCCCAATACACATGGCAGATTTTCCCCTCAGATTATCTGTTGGCAGAACTTTAGGACAAAGTCAAGAGGGAAGATTTGTGCTCCAAAAACTGAGCAAAGGAATAGTTGTGCTGTGGGAAGAAGAGTTGGCCCTGTGGCCAGGATGAGCGACATGCAGGGAGCCCAGAGGGACCTGCATTGGACAGAAAGTTAGATCTGATGACTCTTCAGATTCTTTCCGACTCTGTGGTACGAAGCTCTGTTAAGGGAAGAAAAAAACAAAAAAAAGCCAGAGGGCCACATCTTTCAGCAGAATTACTGAATTCTGGGGAAAGAAAGGTTGCTGTTGATGGTTTTTTGGTTTGTTTGTAATGAGGGTAGCAGGCATCTTTGCAGTGGAAACCCAAAGACCACTCTGGGCTAGGCTTTGAAATACTTTAAAAGAGGCAGTGTCGTAACAATACAAAAAAACACTGAACACAGTGATGGGTGTATGGATTCATTAGTAACTCTAGTAACTATTATGTAAGTATTAACTCTATGTTACAGATGAAGAAACTGGCTGAGAAATGCTAGGTAACTTGACCAAGGTTATCCAGCCATTGCAAGGGGCCATTTTGAAGCAAATGAGGGTTACTTTCACCAGCTGGTAACTATTTCACTACAGTCATGGCAAGGCAGTGAGAATATTTTATTCACCCAGGGGAAACACTTCAGGAGGGATATATGTCCAGACTGTATGCCGGCTGGTTGCCTGTCTGCTTTTCTTCCTGGGGGAGACAAGATGCATCCCAAGAACACATTCTGAGTGTGGTCAGCTAATCTCTCCAAGGACCCAGAGAGGAGGTCTCACAGCATAAAATTTTCTGCTGACACGAAGCCATTAGAGTAACAAAAAGCCAAGGTCACTTCATTGCAATCCATATCAGGATTGCGCACTCTAATTTGATGCTTAGTATTTTGGGGGTGAAGCCGAGGCATGTGGAGGCTGGCTGGAGGTGGAAGTTAAATTCAGGAGAGCTAGCACACCCCTGTTTTCTTGGTGCCAACTCTGCCCAACTATCCAAAGAACAGAGGGCAGCAACTCACACGCACACAGACATGCATTCAAGGAGTTTGGGGACTCATTGGTGTGCAGCGGCTAAGCAGTTGGCTGCTAAGTGAAAAGGTGATGGTTTGCATCCACCAGCCACTCCTGGGAGAGGTGTGGTAGTGTGTTTCTGTAAAGACCATGGTTTTGGAAACCCTAAGGATTGTTCTTCTCTGCCCAATGGGGTTGCTATGAGTTAGAATCAACTCAAAGGCAACTGTAATTTGGCTTGGACATATGCTGGTTACGTATTAAAAATTCTTTTCTGGGCAATGAATGTACAAATGTGCTTTACACAATTGATGTATGTATGGATTGTGATAAGAGCCCCTAATAAAACGATTTTAAAAAAAGATAACAGACCAGGGCTCAAGTAGAAAGCAAGTGTTTTGAGAATGATGATGGCAACAAATGTACAAATGTGCTTGACACAATGGATGGATGTATGGATTGTGATAAGAATTGTACGAACTCCCAATAAAATGATTTAAAGGGAAAAAATTATTTTCTATCATCTGGAGAATTCTTGCAGAGAAGAAATATTACTGATTTAAAGTTGTGGAATGAAAAAACAAAAAACCAACAACCAGGAAACAAGAAACTCATTAATTAGAAAAAAAGTTTCTCATGACATAACCAGTCTCCTGACTAAACACTACTTAGGCTTGAACTTCTATAAACTGTTTTCCCTTTCGTCTTTTCCTCCTGATGTTCTTACGTTCCTGTTGTAGTCTACTGCATTGTTCAACACGGGATATCATGTTAGACCTTAAGGAGAAAACACTTCAGGTTAAAAGCCACTCAAATTTGAGAACTGGCTTTTCTTCTTGAAGTTACAGCGGTGATCACCCTACAATTTTACTTCTGAATTGATTTCAGATGTGCCTCACTGGAAGTCCTGTGGGCTTGGTTGCCAATATCTTTAGTTTTGGTAAATGCTTCCTGGTCAAAATGTAGTCTTAGTTGTTTACCTATCATTCTTTACTCAAGAATAGTGTCACAGAAGTTTGGAAGCTCCCCATGAGAGATGAGTGCATTTGTGGATCCGAAGCAATTCAAACAATTTGACCTTGGTTTTAAGCAAATCTAGTATGATCAGGGGGCTAACCTGGAGAACCCCTAGGGGGCAGCAGCAGTCTAAACACACATGAAAGACTCTGGAAATACAAGCCTGTGATTTGAATCTCAGCTCGACCATGCTTTGTATCATCTTAGGCACTGTGGTGGTGTAGTAGGTTGTATTAGGTTGCTTACCACAAGGTTCGCAGTTTGAAACTACAAGCTGCTCCACGGAAAAAAGATGAGGCTTTCTAGTTCCATAAATATTGACAGTCGCAGAAATCTACAGGGGAAGTTCTACCCTGTCTTAAAGGGTTGATGAATTGGAATCGACTCAATGGCATTGTGGTTGGTTGTGATCATGAAATAATTCATATCCATTAAGCACCTAGCCTGTGCCAGGTGGTGTGTTACAACCAGGTGACATGGTGACTGACACAAGCAAAAGTCTTGCTATTGTGAAGCTTCCAATTCAGGTGGGCACAGGGACAGATGGGGTCGTTTCTGACTGTGGTAAGAGTATGGAGATAACTTTGTAGTGGGGTAGCACACATTTCCTTATGAGCCAAATAGGTCCTAGAAGGCTCAAAGAACAGCACCATAAGATGTGGGCTGATGTTCTGGAGAAGGAACTGCAGCAAAGGCCCTAATGCTGAAACAAGAGTCTGCAAGCTAAGGGTTCAGAAAGGTGGCTGGGTGGGTGAAGGGAAGCACAGGAGTTAAGTGCAAGGACCAAGGGTATGAAGGTGAGGGCAGACCCTGTAGGATCCCTGGGAAGTCTTGATATTTATCTAAGTATGAATAGAAGTCACCCTATATCACAACTGATTTCTGTTCACAATGAATCACAGGGCTGTTGTATAGACAAGGGTGCTGAGGCACACAGTTGAGGTGAACCCAGAGCCTGGCATGAACCAAGCAATTGTTATGGGAGTTCACTACTTTCAAAACAATATATGAGGGGCTCAACAGACTAATGGAAAGGTCGAAATAACAGATAATAGAACTTCCTCATAAACTTGTTGAAGACCTCTCTTGCAGGGAGTTTATGCTCCTTTATGGGTGTAGCAGTTACATAATCTCCTGTCTACATGAATGAAAGGGTGGAGTGTAGCCTGTCAATCAGGTCATAGCCAATGATGACTGTGTGGGGTGGTCTTCTCCTGAGGATTCTGGGAACTCCTGTCTTCCTCTCTGGAGGAAGGACACACTTGCACTCTCTGCTGTTGAGACCCTCAGAGAGCTGGAGGAGCCACATGGAGACCCATGCCAGTGCTGAGATGTTCCCACCGCCGCTGGATCCATGAGATTTTTTACCCACTGGCCTGGATCTCTGTGCATTCAGCATAATTGCATGTATTACATGAGTCTAAAAAGGAATTTATGAACTAGTATAGGACATATGGGCAAATATCGGACTTAGGGACTTGATCTGGACTGTTCTCAATATATAATTGCTCTTTTATATAAAGCTCCTTCTTATACATATGAGTGTCTATGAATTTGTTTCTCTGGTCAATCCAGACTAACACAACGGGAAAAATGCTTTTTAGGTGGTTTCAATGTAACAGTAAAACCTGTGAAAGCCAGAACCTGTGAAGTTGACACCTGTCGGAAAAGGAAACATAAATATTTCCCACCAAATAAAGGGCAATGAAAAAATATGGCAGTTCGACTGAGTGCCAGTGCTCACAGGTTTAGCTACAATAATCTACTTCCATTTTCTTTCAATAAGCACAAGTACGATACATTCAAGTTTTTAAAACTGGTTCATTCTTCTTGAGCTGCAGAAAAACTGTTCTATACCCACTGTGATTACCATACTCATTCTAAGAGTCTTGGGTAAATTTAACATTTCCATTTATTTCTTTCATTATAAAAGTAATATAAGCACATTACAATGTGAAAAGAAGGGAGAAAAACCAAACCCAGCACCCTAACACAGAAACTTCTTCAGCATTTGGTACCTTTTAGCCTTCAGATGAATCTGAAATTTATTTAACACTGAGTCTCAAACACCGTAGAGAAAAAGTGAAAATGCTCTTTTTACTACATTATTTTTTGATTCTTCAAAGCATTTTTACTTCTTTTCAGTGGAAAAAATGAAAAGCATTACAATCATGCAGATTAAATCTCAAAAAGTCTGCACAGTCTCTAATAAAAAAAAACTTAATAGTGAGAACACATTGAATTCCATCATTCAAAATAAAACTTTCATGTTTAGGAAGGAAACCCTAGCCATTACTGATTCAGTATATATTCAAGACCAAAGAAGTTAAATCAAAGACCTATCTCTGCCCGCTTTAAACCATCAGATGATGCAGTTTGCACAATCCTGGGAACTCGCAACAAAGGGGTGGGTGTGGCATGGGTCTTATGACCATCATTTATTAAGCAAACTAGCTAATGGCCAGACATGTGAACACAGTCTTAAATCACCCTTATTTTAAAACACTACTTGGTAATTTAAAATGTCTACATTTTTAGATGCAGAACGTATTTGCACTTCTTCCCAATTTCCCTGGAAAATTAAAATAAGGATTGGGGTCTTTCACTTCATATTTTAGATTCACGTTGTGATCTAGCAGTCATGTGGGGCTAGCACTTAAGGAATATTTCCTATCACATGCGAATGCTTAAGTCAGGCATCCGAAGTAAAAAGCTGTATCTGACCGCGCAGCCAATGTCCTAGATCAGTTTAATCACAACAGGAGAACACTGCTCACTAACATATTAGGTTTCCCAAACTGGAAAAGGTCTTCTGGATGCCCGTCGAGGACTGTTTCTTAAAGCCACCCAAAAACTTTATGACATCATTATCCCAACTTGCATTCAAGAGTCAAGTCCAAGAAAGCTCAGTAACATAGTCAGTCACCTATAAATTCTCACGCTGTAGGAATGGAATGCATGGCCAGAAATTGCATTTCCAGGGTCTGAGCATGAAAATCCACACTGCAGATACAAATCTCTCTGCAGTTAATTATGAAATTGAAAATATTTTGAATCAGAACTAATCATCTCCAATATCACGGTTTCACTTTGAAGAATTCTGATTGTGTCAACAGTAATGCAAATTGTTAGATTTGACATGCAGACTCATTTTATTCACAGCAGAGCTACCATCAGTACCAAACAAACACCAAAGTGACTGCTATCAAATCAATGATGACTTGATGTGACCCCTGAGGGCTTCCGAGACTGTATCTGTTTACGGGAGTAGAAAGCCAGTCTTTCTGCCGCGGAGATGCTAGTGATTTTGAACTGCCAACCATTTTGATAGCAGCCCAACCTGTAACCACTACACCACCAGGGTTCCTAAGCACTTAGTAGTTATATGCAGAGCACTGTCCTCGTACAGTGGCATAAATGGGGGGCATATTACTCAATCATAAACCAGTGAGATCAGGGAGCTTCATGGATACAGACTTATCATAGGTGTTGAGTGTGGGGTTAGTATAATGAAAACGAATCACAGGCAGTTATTTCCTCAGCAGAGGAGCTCTCCAGCAGTCTTGGAGGGAGGAACAAGTCAGATGTGTGCAGGGTTTTGTAAGGAATTCTGGAGGCAAGAACTGAGCAGGGCCAGAGAGAGGGTGGGATCCAGATGGGTGTCAAATGAGCTCAGTGCCCGTGGCCAGGAAACCAAGATGAAGGTGGCTCTGAGTTAGGAGCTCCTGAAAGAGCGGCTGAAGTGAAGGACATTGAAGCGACCCCAAGCAGGGGAAGAGGAGGGAGCCATAGCACAGGAGATGTTTTCACCAAGGAAAACCAAGCAAACAGAGGACTGACGCTAGAGGCAATGGGATTCCACAGACTCCCCCCACAATACAGCACAAAATGAAGCAGCCAGATGGAGGGCCAGGGGCATAGAGGTGCAGGTCCGGAGACAGAAGTCTCTCAAGAGAGAGAACCCGGCCACAAAAGGAGTGATGTTCTAGGCTCCCTGGGGCAGGCGGCACACTGTGTGGCAGGGCACAGCCCTCTCAACATGAGCCCAATCAAACAGGCTTGTCTTGGACACCAAATCCATTAGACCACTGTAGTGACAGTGGGCATCAGACTAATGCTTCCTGAAATCAGAGTGCTTCTAGGCAGGGCCGGTGCTATAAACCAGCTATGATTTTGCTCAGATGGAATTCAAGGAAGAAAAAAAGTCCAGAAAAAATATTCTCTTACTGTCATTTGGGAGTTATCTTGCAGCCACCAGACAAGCAGAGTACAGCCTGCTCTCATGCTTCTGAGTGGAGACTACACACTGCAGCCCACACTGAAAATACCTCAAAGCACCAGCAACTCTAGTAAGTACTGCTCAGTAGAGCTGAAGTGGAGGGAACTCTGGGCAGGCAGGTTATTATAAAAACTCCTATGGCTACCTTCATGCTCTGGTCCTACCTCATTTCCAAATCAACCCAAAGCACAGTGCAGAACAGCCCCAGGAGTTTCCCAAACTAAAACTTTATAGGGGTAGAAAATCTTGTCTTTCTCCCATGGAGCAGCTGGTGGTTTCAAACTGCTGACCTTGTGGTTAGGAGCCCAATGTATAACCACTACCACCTCTGAGTCAAATGGACTCAATAGCAGACTGAAAAAAAAATCTCATTATTAAATCCAGTGCTAGTAGTTATTGTACATGCCCACTTTCATTCTTTAGGTGTTTTTTTTTTGGGGGGGGGGGGGACGAAGGCAGCGAACACTAGTTAGCTTATATATCCAGAAATCAACTATTCCACAATGGAATCTAAAAAAGGGCCACATACACTCCCCCCTTTCATGTGTTGCAGGATATGGTACTCCACATTTATCAGCAACCACTTTGTGTAGACCAGCAATGTTCAGAGCACTTCACAAATTCTAACTCCTAACAATGAAGCAGGTCCCCTGAATGGAAGCACCACTGTTATTAACTTGCCTCCAACTAAGTGGCCTGGGATTGAAGCTAGGTAGTCTGAGCTTTTGTGGCATAGTGGGTTATGCTTTGGGATGGTAACCGCAAGGTAAGCAGTTTGAAACCACCTGCTACTCTGAGCAAGAAAGGCAAACTTTGTTCCTGGAAAGTTAGTCTTGGAAACTCACAGGGGCAGTTCTTCCCTGTCCCACACACTCACTAAGAGTAGGAATCAACTCAGTGGCAATGAGTTTGGTTTTCTGGTTTGGGAGTCTGACCCCAGAACTCATTCTGTCCCTTAGTTGTTTCCTTTTGCTGGGTTAGGGGTGGGGAGTATCCAGCTGGCAGACTGGATTGAGAAATCACCAATCCCAAGAAGAGTAGTTCCAGCATCACATTAGGGGCAAGTAAATTAAATGTTTGATCAGTATGGCCCTCGAATGATGTTATAAATATCTAAACAGCAACTGTGCTATATAAATGGCTGGATTTGAAAAGAATCAGTAACATTTAACTAAATGTGTGTAACACAGCATAGTTGGTCTGCTGTCAGTCTATAGAAAAACAGAAAATGGAGACTAGCAGCCTCCCAAAGGTCCCTGTTTATCAGTACCGGGACATCTCTAATTTCTAGACTCATAGACTTACACTGTTCAACCTCACAGACTTACACTGGAAGCACAGAAAGTCACTGAAACTGAGTTAATCCCAGGACTATTTGTGGACCACATCAACCACATGGCATAATGATGCCAAATGAAAATCATCCTGTGTTCTGCCTTTCAAAACAGTGAGTTTTCTGCATGTACAATTATGCACTTATCAGCTAGGGATAAAAGACAGAGAAGAGTTCACAGGCTAGAGGGAGGGAGGGAGACAGGTCAACAAAGTAACAGATGTTCACAGCTACTATGATAGATTGGAGCAGTGTGAGGACAAAGGAGGCATAGTCTAATCATCTAATAACAGCGATATGAACCATGTGCTAGGTACAAAGGATTTTTCAGGTCTCCTTACATTGGAGATAAATCTGTATTTGAATGGCTGACTTCTCAAGACTAGATAGTAGAGTTAGCCTATAATCTGTTCTACCAACTGGTTATACTTTATTTCATCTCTAACACCAAAATGAACCATTCTCAACTTCTTACTACTTCAGAACCCAATCAATTAAATTTGTCTTGAAGAAAGTGTTTTGAAAGACTCATGTCATTGATACAGAGACAGGTTCTGTTAAAAGAATCATCATATAAGAAGAAAAATGAAGTGTCAAATTTCAAATATATACACCATAAGCATTAACAACCAAGTCCTAATAGCTCAAAAAACTTTTGGAGTTCTGGAGTTAACTGTTTACCTCTTTCCATTTGTGCAGTACAGCACATCTGAGGTGATTTGAATGGAGCCCTTGGACCAGTCTGGTAAGCACTGGGCTGTTAATTGCAAAGGCTGCAGTTCAAAGCTCCTAGCTGTTTTGCTGAAGAAAAATGAGGTGGTCTGCCTCTGTCAAGATTTACAGCCTCAGAAATCATGTACAGGGTTGATATGGGTTTGAATCCATTAGGATTTGGTTTTAGTTAGGAACGTTTTTGTACTTGGTTGCTTAACTAAAAACAAAACCAAAAAAACTATTGAGTCGATTCCAACTCACATCGACCCTATAAGGCAGGGAAGAGCTGCCCTTGTGGGTTTCTGAGACTATAACTCTTCACAGGAGTAGAAGGTCCCATCTTTTTCCCCATGGATGCTTGCCTTTTGGAAACTCAATCTCAAATGCTAAGTTTTATAAAGTTTCCATCTTAAACACAATGCTAGGGAAAGAACGTGTAAGTTCTAGTCTGCTCTGAATCCAAATTAAATCTGTAACCTTGAGCAAGCTTCTTCCACCATGGAGCTTTTGCTGTTTCTATCTATAAAAGGTCACGGTCCTCTTCCTTCAGTGGGTAGCTGTGAAGGCTCAGAGATAATAAATGCAAAGGTCCATCAGAGAACACACGGCCCATGGTAAATACATGAGCTCCCTTCCCACTGCTCTAAGAGTACTTAAATGGCACTCAAACCAAAGAGCCAATTCTGAAATAACTCTGAAATCTGAAAAAAAGCCCTCTTCAGAGGATATAAACTATTGTAAAAGCCCATGCTTTTGTGTAAATGGAAAAGATGAAAACATTACACAAATATTAATAAGGTTCACTATAGGTCCTGAAGAAATTATTGCAAGGGTTCCTAATTCTTTAGTTCTCCCTATCTTTTAAGGTTGATGTTTTAATACAGGCATACACCACTTTATTGTGCCTCAAGATAGCAAAGCTTTAAAACAAAACAAGAACTGAAGACCTTGGAGTACCTTTTGTGAAACAAGTGGTGCCATTTCCAACACCATGTGCTTGTTTTTGTGTCTCTGTATCAGTTTGGTAATTCTCAGAATATTTAGAACTTTTTCACAATGCTATCCCACACTCAACAGACCACAGTATAGTGTAAATGTAACTTCTACATGTACTGGAAAACCAAAAGTGATACGACTGGCTTTCTTGTAGTAACCAGGAAGCGAACCTGCAGTATCTTCGAGGCATGCTTTCGCCAACCTGCACTGGTAAAACAGGTCTTGCTTACATGGTAGATTGCTTGGCACTAAACCAGAGAGCAGCTCAAAGAGAGTGGGATTTTATTTAATAGAACTGGAGCTAAATGGTGCCACTGAAAATTGTGGTGAATTATTTCATTATTCAAATGCAATGACCAAGAAAAGTTTCCTCCATACAAAGGGCCCGCAGATCACTGTACTACAGGAGATGAATGCTGTGAAGACCCTTGCGTATCATTCTGCCCACCTAGTGCACGTCCAAAATAACATGAGCCATTAAACCAAACTTTCAATGGCACTTTACCATCTTTCCTTTTCCCGAGAGCCAAAATTAAATTTTCAGCTCGATTCACTAAGAACATATCTTTTAGAGAAGTACTTTTAAATGTTTTACTTTTCCCTAACCTAAATTTGCCTTTCTCTCCTAACCAGCTACTATATTCTGATCTCTACTTAAGAAATCTCACTAAAAGCAAGTCAAATTTTCTTGCCATCTGATTTCTAGTTTTCTTTACCTTTCTAAGGTTGATGTTCCATTTCACCCATCCTCTCCTCAGACAACACTTGAGAAGGAAGTCTTAAAAGCCACTGACAGCAAACAGCAAGACAGACCACAGTGAATGATGAAGCTATACCACAAAGATGGAGTCAAGTTTTAAGAGCACATTATCCTTGCATATCTGAGAGACAGGTGTGATACACAAGATCCTTAAATTTATCTTACAGACTATGGAGCCAAGTTGTTCAAAAGGTGAATTTTGAAACCATAGTTAGTGTAGCAAATGAATATACCAAAAACGAAACAAAAAGTCATCCAAGTATTTACATTTTTAAAAGACATTAAAAATATAGGCTACTTATAAGTGTGCTTGAACAAACCATGTGTGGAATTGAATTCCAATCATATGGAGTTAGCTTCTGCTAAATACATTATTAATGCTAGACCCCTGACATCTGTGGATTTTAAGCACTTTCAACTGTTCCCCTTCTAAATTTCAGGGGGGAAAAAAACAAACAGCAAGCAAGATAATGAATTAACTCTATGTTTCTGGGACACTACTCTGGGCCTCAGAGGGGAAAGGCTGATAGTGAAAGGTACAGGGGTAAGGGCGGGCGGGCATCAGTCACTGAGTGTGGCTTTGTCATTGCCCACCTGCTACCAGGTAGCCAATAGAACACCTTAGAAGCCATTTACATTTGGAAACTATACTTCTCTGCATTATTATGTTCCAATAATGTCACCAATTTGGTTATCTACAAAACTATTTTAGAATATATTCTTCGAGAAAGTGGAGGGTCTCTTATATTACATTAAATAATAAATCATGCAATGTCTTAACACTCATAAGCTTTGCCAAAATGAACTACTAATCATACAACCTAATTAAAGACTCAAGAGTGTTATATTGCCGGTAAAGAAGTTTATAGGCCAGGAATGTCCATATAGGTAATGTATCTTAGCCCGTTCCTTGCAAAGTGATTAAGGACTACAGAATAACTTCTGTTTTCATTGGTTCTGGCTCAGATTGGTGGGGAATTATATTGAGAATAAAGACATGTCAGAAATTAAACAAACAATAACATTTCCTTTTTAAGATGTATTTGAGAGAATATGGCTTAAAGACAAAAGGAAAAGCCTCTTACGTGTCCTTACAGTTTTACTTGACCCTTTGTTTACGGGGAAACTCATGGAGTCCAGTTTTATTTTTGCTCTGACAATTAGAAGTGTTCACATTTTTAGCATTTTCCAATTAACCAAAAAAGTTCACGCCACAATCAAAATCCCCAAACAATTGGTTGACAAGTTAAAAAAAAAAATCAGTCATTTTCTTTAGGTCTGTAACTTGACTTTCTGCTTATCTTCGACCAATGTAAAATTTTTTTAAACTAGATTTCTTTATTAAAGAGAAAAAAAGAGGTCCCTTAAAACAAAAGCAAAACAAATACTGACTCGATCTCAAAACCATTGCAGACCTATCCCCTTGCTCAGAAATAGAACAATGACGGACAGCCCAATGCAGGTGGTACAGATACTATTTTCTGTTTGTTAAAAAGTAGGGTTGAGTGGAGTTTTTAAGATATCAAGGTCAGCAGAATTTTCACATTTCACAATTTTGTTACTAAAGGTCCCAAAATTCCTTCAGTTCATTTGAGAAGTTTTATGAATGTGTGTATTATAATAAACAGCAGCAAAATACCAAAACAATTCTATTGCTAAAAAGCAGCTACTCCTGTTTATACCTTTAGAATACTACATACGACAGTAAGAATGAAAACAAATCGCCAATTTGTGCCATCAATGGGGATTTGGATTATTCTAAAGAAGAAAGAAATTATTTTCTCTAGAACAGGTGAAAGCATGACATCTCTAATCAGACTGGGTAAAGAGTGACTGAGTTGGGAGGGAAGGGAATATCAGAAACTATCAGTACGATGAGATAACAGCAGTACACTTAGTATTCTAAAAGCATGCTTCAGGTAGTTCAACAATGTTTCTGGTAATACCAACTGCTCACATACATACACACGCACACACATAAATTTTAATGGTTTAAAAAAAAACAACCAAATTTGTTACTTTAGAAAAACGAATGCAGTGCACTTTCAGCAATATTCTCGCCACAGACTCTGATTGCGCAATCCACACATAAGTAGTAGGTGCCTTCTATGGTGATATGGCTTCTCTGCATTAATTTCCATCAGGCCGAAAAACATTAGGGCAGGTTAAGTAAAGACTGAATTGTTGCACAAAGGAACATTTACTCATCAGATCCCACTGATCTCTTCTGTGCCCGTTTCCTGGGCAACCTTCTTGGTGAAGCTTTATCTGGAAGAAAAGAGAAAGTTTTACGCTTTCCTGACTATTTAGTAAGCATTTCCTTCAGCTTAACATAACACATATGTAAGAATACTGTTTAATAATGGATTAATCTAGCTAAAAGTTTTGAATATCTTTAAAAAGTAACAATTGAAATCAAACACCTTTGTAATAAAGTGTCAAAAGGTCTAAACCTTGGTACTGTAATGTTGAAGACACCATGCAAAAACTTCTTTAATTCTCCAGATTAACATGCACAAGTAAACCGTTTTAGCAACACTTTAAAAGGTATGAATTTGCAACTCAAAAATTTTAGGTTGGTCACAGATTAAAGATTCGATAATCACAAATACAGTCATGCAGTTGGTTTCACTTTTGGTACTTTCACAAATAAGCAGGATAAAGGAAGTGATTCAATATTTCAATACTAAAACAACCCTGCACACATAGACATTGTCCTTCTTTTCCTGTATCCCTTATGTTAAACTATTACTATGCCAAATGAAGGTGACATCACATCATCACATAAATACCAAATTTTATCATTACATGGCTACCAAACCACTAGGAATCATGACTCAGCCAAGGTGACACATAGTCTTAACCATCACATCAGTTACTATTATTCTTGTCTTGTATATTGACATCCAGTACCACTGGATGTATTTTGGTCAACAAACAAAACAAACTTTCTGCTACTGTAGTAAATGTGAAATGTCAGAACAAAAGTTGATATGTGAGAAGTAGATATAGCCTGCTTAAGGATATGTTGAATAGTCTAATTATTAACAATAAATGATTATTTATAATTATTAAAGTTAATAATAAAGTTTAAAAAGTATTCCACAGAAGTACTTTAAAATTAAAGTCATTTGGATGAACATCACATGTGAACAAGCACAAGGAGATTTTAGAAGGTTCAGGGGAAAATCCCATCATCTTTTACTAATATCCTCCCAACCCAAACTTTTTGAAGGCCCCCTCACAGATGAGCAGCAGCATTTATTTGATGTGCTCAATGACTTTCAACAATTTCAATCACCCGAAAACAAGACTGTAAATACGGAGCACATGAAAAGGAGCCTTGAGGTCTTGCAGTGCCTAATCAATACTCAGCCAGCCAATTACCCTTATTCAACTAAAATTCTTGATCTGGTGTTTAGCACATCAAAGTTAAGAAGCAGGTTAAGTGAGAACCAGAATAAGGTGACATTTAGGGGTAATTCTGCCCCAAAACAGCATTTTATTTCTGCAAAGAACTAATTAAATGTATATAATAATGCTCTCCACCTACTATTTCTCCAGAGTTAAAAAACTAAACCCAACAATTATTGAAGACTGAAATATGTTAGCTTTCAAAATAAAAAGCTTAAACTATATGGAAAAGAAATACAACATAAGCAAAATGAAATGCATCATTCCCCAGTTATGATGGTCTGAAAATATCTGTTGTGTCCATTTAAAAAGATGTTTTGAAAATTTACATAACACTAACAAAACTCAAAATCAATGTCTTCAAGTTGATTCAGACTCATGGTACAATCATATGTCACTACAACTTTTTTTCATTTTTAAAACAAAAGAAAAAATTTTTAAGAAATTTAAATTCACTTAAAAGGGCAAACAATCATATCTAAGCTAACTACACTTATTTTTTTTTCTGTCTACTCTCTCCTTGATGTCTTTACATCCTTAACTCAATTCTCCAGACTCCTTTGATTTTGCAGGCTGAGGCAGCATCTAGAATTGTCAGATTTACAGGCTTTGCTAAAAGAAAGGGGCATGTTTATGAATGAATGTGTTACATGACTTTCAGTTATTTTCAAATTTCCCAAACCAATGAGCAAATCTTAAGAGATTAACTTACAGAGAACAATGCAGCATTAAGTTCCTTAAATTTGATACAAATTTTAGCATCTTATAAAAGTTGTTTTTACTCACTTTAGCACATAATCACACATCACTTTCAATTATTGAACTAATTCCTAAATGTGTTTTATTTCTTCTAGTAGAAATATAAATCCCCAAGAACATAGTAATATCCTAAATACCTGTTAACATACCATTCAGGTTCTAGCATAGTAGTACGATACAGTACTCATTATCTATGGACAAAAATAGAATTATAGTTGATTTACAACTTGCTGAGTGCAGTAATTCTTATTTTCATAGAGGACAATGTCAGGGAGATTGGTGGAATAAAACAACCTCCCAGCACACTTGTCATAGAAGAATTCTTTTGATAGAGTGCTTTCACAATTGCTATAATTCGTCTTTTTTTAAAAAAACTTTTTATGTAGATAAATAATTCTTTTTAAGACATTTAAATTGATCTTTTAATGATTTGACTTTTAAATATACTATAATGTTAAGAAATTCTGGTGAACTCTACACAGTTCTCAGTCTATACTTAACCAAATTCTACTTTGGACTAGCCTGTCAGGGTAAGAGCAATTTGACCTTATTGATAAACATTATTCATTCCATAACTTCCACTATGATTGCCTACGCTACCTGTCCCAGGATCTTCCAAATCTTGGTTCAATGGGCTCTAAAATGCCAACTTTTATCCGACAGTCATATCTAGATTTCTGCAGATGCCTCATACATCAAATCCAAACTCACTCTCTTCAGCCATCTGTGCTTCCTGTCCTGTATTCACCAACTATTAATGGTATCTCTTCCACTCTGCTCGGCATGCCCGTCACCCAAATAGTCACCCAAAGCCCTGTGTGCTCCACTTGTGAAACATTTTTTGACTCCTTTCTATTTTGAATACCAAGCTTATACCACCTTAGCTAAGACCCAGGGATTCTCATTTGTTTGGACTAGCTATTCCACTTTAAGAACTTAACCTATAAATTCTCTCTCTCTCTCCCCCAGGGATTCTCATTTGTTTGGACTAGCTATTCCACTTTAAGAACTTAACCTATAAATTCTCTCTCTCTCTCTCTCTCTCTCACACACACACACACACACACACACACATTTTAGTGTTATTTGTTGTATGAAAATTGAAAATAACTTCAATAGCACAGCCTGCAATGTAGAACAGATCTAAACAACCAACACATGTTTATGCACAGGAATCTTACATAGTTATTAAAAGAAATAAAGTAATGATATATGTAACCAGCATAAAGAAACCCAAAGCATGAAAAATCGATGAACAGGATGACTCCATTTGTACAAAACATTCACAGAGGAATCATAGACACATGCTTATATATGTATAGCAAACACTTGAAATAGCATACAGACTTAACACCAAAATGGGATTAGTGGAGACAGGAGGGGGATCTGGGCTTTTCACTTCTGTACTGGTTAGTTTTTTACAGGATGGTCATATTATTTTTGCAACAAAAAAAATTTAAAGAGTTTTATAATTAGAGAGGAAAAAATCCTCATACAGATTAATATTTTAACTAAATGTATATGTAATTGAACTGAATTTAGGTTTACTTTTTCAAAGTGTAGTTAGCAATTAGTTTTCCAAGGAAATATAGTATTAGAAAACCATTCTGTCACGTGTTAAACTTGCTATATTCACATGCTATCCAAGAGCCCCCAGTACTATTACAGACACTATGAAAAAAATAAATTGCCTCACCTCTTCTACTCTGCACTGAAGCAACAGGGAAGAAAAGACAGGAAAAAGATTATGAATATAGAGATTTCATATATCTGTACATCAACTGTAGGTTTGGAGGCACCTCTAAATTAAAGTATTAAAAAATACCTAATAAACTAAGTTTTAAAACCATAATAATCATTTATTCTAGACTCACGGAAATAATGGAGATGAATTTCATATGGCATCAACCAAACATTTTTTGCTAAATTTAAGATAATAGTGAGAGGAAAAGGTTCCCAGTAGTTTTAAGAGTACTTACTGATCTGATTCAAAGTTTCCTGGGGAATCCAACTCATATCCACATCATTCTGATTCGATGTACCCATCTCTACTTTCTGTATTGGTCTCTTGCGCTAAAAAAAAATGAAAATGTTTATAATAAAAAAAAAAATCGATCCATGTATTTAAGTAACTTAGTTGAGACAAAAACGTTCTTCTCTAGTTTTAAAATATATCCTTATTCAAGTATTTTATTAAGTAGATGCAAGTCATTATTATCTATAAAGAACAGAATAAATCCTCACAAAACCATATATACTTGTGCATAACCCGAGTTTTTCAGCACATTTTTAATGCAGTTTTTGTGGTAAAATTAGGTGCCTCGGCTGATATTCGGTTTGGCTTATACTCAGTATTTATATATTTATATACAGTAATTATTTATTCTGAGCTTAAGACTCTTTTCCTTTATTGCAAAGCTTCATGTAATTGGAAAGCCAAATCAGAAATTCTATTTTTTTTTCCCTTTGTGAATCCAACTGAATTAAAAATATATTTACTTCCACATTCTACAAAATTCAGGGTAACTACCAAAATGTTGCTGGAAGACAGTTACTGTACTGTCAGGTAAATATGTTTTTAATTGGCATATACAAAACAAAAACATAAAAACTCATTTAAACTAAACACCTTACACTTTCTCTTTAGAGTTATTTGTAGCACAATTGATAGAAAGTAAAAAAGATTCAATTCCATTCTTTAGTCCCTTTTTTGAAAACAAGTACCCCAAAGCTATCTATGTACCAGTCCACAAATTAGGTTCTGAATGTAAAAGAAAGGTAATTTAAAAATGGCTTCATTCAGTGATGCAGTTGAACCTAATAACAAAAATGCTTATTATTATGAAAGCGGGGCAAAAAAAAAGTTATGGAAATTAATAAGGAAAGCACTAAGTATTTGTTGTGAAAATACTTATACAAAGCTTACTATTTATTTTCATATATATATGACATAAGTAAATGGTCTTATATCGTTCCATTGAGAGGAATAATGTATAAAGCGCTGATGGTGGAGGATGAGTGAAAGGCGAGGGAAGGGGAAGGAGGACACGGCAGAGGAGAGAGCCACTCATCCAGGGTGAGAAACCAGAGTTACAGCAGATATGTTAATGTTAACATTTTCTCCCTTAGCAAGAAGTATCCAGTGACAGAACAAATATAGCAAGTTTTTTTCCCATTTTCAGATGAAAAGACCTCTTTTCAAGAATTATCACTGCATTTTAAATGATCTCCATAGCATCCAAACAAATGTACTGAAAGCCTGGTTGTTTTATATATAAAATACATGGAAAACGACAATAAATTTCAGGTCTTCTTTTAAAAAGGTAACGGACACCTGCAAGTACATGAACACAGTGTTCATCTATAATTACCTTTCTAGATTCTAGAAGTTGATGCAGGCCAATAACAACCAGCAGCCCAAGACCAGCAAGGAACATATACATAAAGATTCTGATATATAAAAAAAAAAAGAATACATTTGCTTTAATAGGAAATACCATAGTGCATTACAACTCTAAACATGTTTTCTAAGTAACTTGTAAGGAAAAGATACTTAATTCTAAAAGTTTCCAATCTGTAGTTTAAAATGAATTATCATATAAATTACATTAGTTAACGGTATCAATAGCTGTAAGACACAAAATTTCACTAAATCTACAGTCCATATGATTTTCATCACTTAAAACAAAAAGTTCACAGGAGCAAGCTTTCTAATCCTACCTTACAAATTGAAGATTTACTTAAAATTACAATTTTCACTTACGTCTCTCCATCTAACCCATCCTCTCTCTCAATAATTGTAACTGTTTGATTGAAGACAGCATCTTGGAAAACATTGCCCTGGTTGAAAGAGAGGAAAAAATTCTCAAGAAATCAGAAATACATGGGGAAAAAAAAGAAAACCGATGATTTAAAAATCCAGCTCCTTAACAGAATTGTACTGTTCCGATCACTGAGAAGGCCAGGAAGACTCAACAAAATTAACACACAGCTAGCTCCTTGTCAGGGACTAAATATTACCACGTTACTTTCTTTGACAACAAAACAAAAACCTCTTCTACCTCTGCTAATGCGTTCCTTCTCTGAGGGAACGGTGGGTAAATCATGTGAGAGAACTGGAAATAAGAGTAAAAATAAGAAATCCTAATTTAGTTGCTTGCAAATAATGAAAAAAAACATGAAAATTGCTATAATGGATCATTCCAAAAACCACACCTGAGCAAAAGTTTAAATTCATGATCTCACAACTGGCAAAGAAATGAAAATGATTTGTAATGAATGGGTTGATGATTGTCCACATTTATCAAATATTATTCTTTTGTGATCCTTTAACTGTCAGAAATCTTTATGTGAGCTTAATACCCTATTTCACTTTCCCATCACTGCACTGGGTCTGTTGTGCTTCACACAAAAGTAGTCCCTTTTCAAAATGCTCATCTATTGCTAAACTCTAAGTTTCACTTCATGACCCTGGAATTTGCATTCATTCCTCAACTTAAGACAACTCCAAGAATCAGAACACATGGAAGAAAGTAACAATCAAAATGGAACTAATCCTGCGCATACTTCCTGGAGGATTAACGTTGTTAATTCTACCTAAAAACAAGATGAAATAGATGATTCCATAACCTATTTACTATGAAGCTGAAAAAGCTTATTTTGAAGATGAGAATAAAAAACCCTTCCTCTCCTCTAGGTAGAAAAAGAAAAGTTAGCTGCAGCAAAGTAAATTTACTCAGACAAAAGAAGACATGTTGACATCATCACTCACTGCCACCAAGTCCATTCTGACTCGTGGAGACCGTATAGAGCAGGACCGGCCTTGTGGGTTCTAAGACTGTCACCATTTACAGAAGCAGAAAGCCTCGTGGACATCGGGATAATAAAAAGAATGGTTTGGTTTCCAAGAGAGGATGATTTCCTCCTCTGAAAAAGCTTTGGAAAGCAATGATTTAAATGTGTTCTCTCTGGAAGGAAAGAACAGTTGACATCAAGAGGTCGATTGCCAGCAGTAAACTTCTAGAGGGTTTCCCTCATTCATGGGCTATATATAAAATACACACTGTGAATATCATTAAAATGAAATCACAGCTTGTATTCAGCCATTTGGTTCAAAACAATTAAAACTTAAACAATAAAAATTGCTGTTGAAACTATCTTTAAGACATTTGACTATATTTTCTCTATTAAATATATGGAACAATGGAACAGTTTCAGAAAGTCTTTAAAATACCAAACCCCAAATCCATTGCTCTAAGGTTAATTCCAATGCCCAGCTACCCTATAGGACAGAGTTAAACTAGCCAAGGCTGTAATCTTTACAGACACAGAATGACATGCCTTCATCTTGCGGAGTGGCTGGTGGGCTTGAACAGCAGTTAGCAGGTGAGCACTTAACCACCATGCTATAAGGGCTCCCCAAACTTACAAAAAGCAGTAAATGGGGAAAAAAGGAGTAAAATGGACAAATACCCAAGTATCAACGGTACACATTAAATCCATGAACAGGCATTACCATCTAAATAAGTACACTGCCCTATGGATGTGGCATCCTTTATAATCTTTTCCTTTAAAGACTCCTAATATAGCACCATCTCCAGTTTATATCACTTATCACTGTGTTCGGAGCCCTGGTGGCGTAGGGGGTCATGGGTTGAGATGTGACCCACATGCTCAGCAGTTTGAGACCACCAGCACCTCCGAGGGAGAAAAACTAGGCTTTCTACTCCCTTAAACAGTTAGTCTCGGGCAGCCCACAAGAGGTCCCTATGAGTCAGCATGATTCAATGGCAGTTAGTTTTCTTTTCTTCCCCCCTTTTTTGGGTACCACTGTGTGATGGTGCCCGTTTGTGAGTATCTCTTCAGTGGATTCAGACCAGAAGACAAATATGAAATTTATCTTTGCCATCTATAAAACAGGCACTATACCATGCACAAATATAAGAGTATATATAAGGAAACAAAATTTTCCCCACTCCACTCCCATCTCTTTAAATAAAGGTTTAGAGGGCCTTACATTCAAATCTTTGTAGTTGAGGTTGATGACTAGACCAAAGGGTCGCCCACCCATGGGCTCTGCAGGAATGAAGGAGTACTCAAAAGTCGCCTGTCTCTGGGGTGGCACTACAGTGTTCAGAGGAAGGGCCGTGAAATTCTGGATATAAAACTGGTAGTCCTGAGGATAACGGAATGAAGCATCGAGTGATTCAACAACAAAGTCTTCTGTACCCTTGTTTGTAAAGCCCACCAGGAACTTCACAATATTATTTGCTGGAAAATCTAAGAAACAAAATAGAAACAGACAAGTCAGGAAACACTCAATGTGTATAAAATATGAACTCAACTTTATTAGTGGATGCTGGCACCTTTTCCCTCTCTGTGTGGCTACCTTTTTTGGAACCCTTTTCAACAAAGCACTCCAGTTAGCCACTAGCTAAGAAGTGATGGATGCTGGTTCAAAGCTAGTATATTCCAACCTATGAGTTCAACTGAGCATCTCATTTTTGGAGCAGATCATATCCAAATCACGCATATGTGATCTGAAGTGATGTTTAGTTCTAATAGACTATTATCTCATACCTCACACAGATAATGCAAAGCAGAATGACAGAATAAGTCTATTAAGAAGCTCAGTGAACCTTACCTGAAATGGTAATATTCACTGTATTATATAAATTCAATCAGACAATTCCTGCATACTTTAAGAAATCAGTCAAATACAAATCTGAAAGTAAGATTCAAGCAGGCAGATACAAAAATAGAAAAATGAAATTCTTAAACAAATTATATTTCTTTTGGAACAAGGGTGGACAGTATATAGGAATAAAACAAAGTTAGAAAGAGCAAGAAAATGAAAAACCTTTATATTGTCTCTAGTAAACTGTACTCTACAGAACCGTCCATCATATTTGGGGGTTAGACAAACCTGGGTCTGAATCCTATCTCCACAAGCTATTTACTAACTTGGTAACTCTGGATAAGTTTTTGTGATCTCTCTAAACCCCAGTTTCCTTATGTAGCAAATGGAAATAAAAGAAATGATCACTGGGTTACTGTTAAGCTTACACATAACACCTGCCAAGATTTGAGAACACTCCAGCATATAGCCCTCAATAAAATATAAGCATATGTGTATGTTCTTAAAAATATATTTATCATTTAAACTCTGACAAAGTTACTGTGCTGTGACAACTGGAAAAACATTTAGAAAATTACAATTGAAAGACAATTTCTAATTAAACTGGGCATTATTTATTTCCCTAGTTTAAATGCTAGGAATACTACCTCTCAGGTATGCATATTCATTCATGTAAGATTTTAATTTAAACTTCCTTAAGCATCACCGATACTTCACACACAGTGAATCTGTCCCTTTTCTCTATTACCTTCTCCTTTTACAAATAGGATAGTTGTATCTGCACTTGGTGAAGCTTCAGGTTCACCAGACAAGTCTTCTTCCTCTTTGTCCTCTGCCTAAGAAAAAAAAGGATTAAAAAAAGGGATTACACTGTGGGAAAAATACAAGAATGTTTAAGAGAATTTGCTGGAAACAGCAGTGGTATATTTCATAGTGTGTCATCACTGAGTGCACCTCAGACTATAATATGCACACTAATTCCTAGCAGATTTGACTCAAGTTTACGGTGAAAAGCTGAAGTCTTGCACTTTCAGCAAGCACTCAGGAATCACTGATGCTACTGGAACTGGGAACTCTGAGCCATAAGGTTCGAGGGCAAGAAGTGGCAAACTTTTCCAGTAAAGGGTCAGATAGTAAATCGTTTAGGCTGCACAGGCCATAAGGTCCCTGTTGAAACTACTAAATTCTGCTGCTGCAACTTGAATCCCAAATCAAAAGGTCAGTTGTTTAAACCCACCATTTGCTCTGCAAGAGAAGAGTGACATTATCGGTTCTTGTAAAAGATCTACAGTCTCAGAAACTGTACGTATGGTGGTTCTGAGTCAGAATAGACTCAATGGCAAAGGGATTGCTTAAAAAAATGGTCAATGCCAGATTTGGCTAAGGAGACCACATTTTGCTGACCCCCAGCATAGTGGTTATGCACTGGGCTTCTAGTCACAAGGTTGGCTTTCAAAACCATTAGTCACTCTTTGGGAGAAGGAAGAGGGTTTCTACTCCCACAAAGTATAAGTCTGGGGAACCAAAAGGGGCAGTTCTACTCTATCCTACAGGATCACTATGAGTCCAAATCAACTCAATGGCCCTGAGTTGAGTTGTTATCTATGAAGATTTCTATGCTTATTAACAACATACTTTTCCTGATAATTTGTACCACAACTTGGCAGGACTGAACAGTACACATAAAACTGGAGAATTTTATGGTGTGCAAATTACGCCTCAATATGGTTGAAAAAAATTTGAACAAATTTTATAAAATAGTATGACTTGGAAATGACTTGATGGCAGTGGGCAGTGAGGGTATAAAGCAACCAAAAGGAAGACATATAGATGGAGAAACCACTCAACAACAAAGGCAGAACTATAGGAAACACATTATTAAGGGGGTGAACACAGAGAAAACAGCACTGGGCAGGAAAAACTAAGAGCAGGTGTTACAGAAAGGAGCTCAATCAGGTGACAGACCCGGAAGCTGGCCATCAGATTGTTAGAAGAGTTTTACTTGATGCATAAGTCCAGGCCACATGAAAAGAACATGAAGTGAGAAGTAGAGACAAGCTATACACACTGCTCTTCCAAAAGAGTGCTAGTGATAAGAAAAGTGGGTGGTAGTTTAAGGTCATGGCACAGCATAGAAACACATGTGTAGCTTAAAAGAAACAAGTCACCAAGAGAACCAATACATGCAGGTACGCAGGAAAGGAAGTAATCGACCAAGATCCCATTGTACACAGAAACAAGAGCACAGGTCAACTTTGGAAGAAAGGGTTACTCATCATCCTTAAAGACAAGATGTACAAAGGGTGGGTGAGCTACATTTAGAAGGAGAAAATATTGAGGAATTCTCCCTTGGTGGCTTTCCCTTTCTGGCATGGAAAGTAATGTTGTTTCACAGCAGTGATAAGATTTCAAAGTGGTAAATAAACTCTGCAGTCTCAAAGCTTACGTGCAACATAAGAGAAAAAAGGTAAAACTGTGTAGGATAGGCTTGCTCGATGCTTCATATTGGTTCCAGCTCAACACTCACACAATTTTCAGTGTATAATTTTATAATGAAAGTTTCGGAGTAGAAAACAATTTTTTTAATCATTTTAAATCCATACATACATCCATTGTATAAAGCACATTTGTACATTAATTGCCCTCATCATTCTCAAAACATTTGCTCTCCACCTAAGCCCCTGGGACCAGCTCCTCATTTCCCCCCCTCACTCCCCGTTCCCCCCTCCCTCATGAATCCTTCATAATTGATAAATTATTCTGTCATATCTTACACTGTCTGACATCTCCCTTCACCCACTTTGCTGTTGTCCTTCCCCCGTGGAAAGTATTTTAAGAATTCTTTTCTACCCCTATTATTCACTGGAGGACCTATTCTAAGTTGGTCTGTCCCTCATCCCACAACACACAGAAAAATGCCTGACATTTAGAAGGCACTTAATAAATATGCTAACTGAATGAATAAAAGAAAAAAGAAACTAAGACCTAGAGATAAAAAAATTTGTTTCACCAACCAAAACAAGGGCTTTTGAGGGGATCTGCTGACCCAGTTAAAATCAAGGCAGAAAGATCATCTTAGACAGTTATGGCGACTGTTTCTTGGGATTCCAGAGGGGTAATCTTGATTTTTTCAAAGGATATAGGACAATCAGGGAGGTTTATTGGAAAGAAGTTTTAACAAAATTGAGAACAAAATTACACTGATGAGAAAAAGACCAGTAAAGTTTCACTGAGGAATTTGTTTCCATCAGGATAGTGAACCTGCTCATCCTTTTAGAGTAGGAAGCACTGTCCTATGAGAACTGCATTGGTAAACCTTATCCCATTCATTCTACATCCTCCATCTTGCCCTTCAGACTTGTTTTTGTTTCAAAAAACTCAAATAACATTTCAAAGGAACACAATCTGAATGTCCCGAGAGGATGCCAAAATAGTCATTTTGATCTTGTAGAGATTGAACAGTGCAGAACACTCTGGGGAAGGATTAGATATGAAAACACCATTTCAGAAGTGTCTATAGACCCAAGTGGAAGATATGTCCACAAACACTATCATTTATATTTTGGTATTTTTGTTTAATAAATGTTTCTTTGATTAAAAAAAAAATCCTCATTTTAGAAAATTGTAATCTACCCTCAGTGAAATACCCCATGTCCTAATTTTAATCCACTTTGATTACAGTACAAGGCATTTAAATGCATGAATTTAAATACCAAATATTTCTATAACAAAGAAATTCCAGATTTATGAGGTTTTTAAAAGTTCATGGGGGAGAAAGGAGGACCGATTGCAATGATCAACATATAACCATACTCCCCCATCCCCTTAAGGGTGGGTGGGAGAACAACAGAAACATGGGTGAAGAAGGGAGACAGCAGACAGTGTTAGAGATGAAAATAAAGATAATTTATAATTTATCAAGGGCTCACAAGGGGGGAGGGTGGGAAAGGAGAGAAAAAAGAGGAGCAGATACCAAGAGCTCAAGTAGAAAGAAATTGTTTTGAAAATGATGATGGCAACCTATGTACAAATGTGCTTGATAAAATTGTATGAATTGTTATAAGAGCTGTAGGAGTCCCCAACAAAATGATTAGTTTATGGGATGGCAAAGTCAAGAATTTTTTCCATGAACTTTTTGAATGCCCCTTGTATTATATTTACTCTAGATGCACTATATTATATATAACACTGACCAGATCTGTGGGCTCATCTTCTTCCACCTCAGCTTCATCATCTTCATCTTCAATTATTGAATCTTCTACAGTTTCTTCATCCTCTGTAAGATCCTGAGCCAATGCCAATGAGCCTGACAAAATGTAAAACAAACTAGTTAAACTTTGCCCTGAAAAGATGTTTTTTAATACCTAGTACAGAGAACAGGAGTCCTGGTGGCTTAGTGGTTTCACAGTGGGCTGCTAATTGCAAGTCAGCAGCTTGAAACCAGTTGCTCCTCAGGAGGAAAATGAGGCTTTCTACTCCTATAGTCTCAGAAACCCACAGGAGCAATTCCACCCTGCTTTATAGAGCTGGCGAGTCAGAAGTGACTCAATAGCATTTGAGTTTGGTTTTGAACGAGTACAGGCAACAGGCATACATGCAGGTGGTGCTGTGGACTAAGCACTGAGCTGCTAACCGAAAGGTCAGTGGTTTGAATCTACTAGCTGAAGGAGAAAGATGTGACGATTAGCTACAGTCAAGATTTGTAGTCTTGGAATCCCTATAAAGCAATCTTACTCTTTCTTATAAGGTCACTAAGAGTTGGACTTGACATGACAAAACAACTGATTTGTCTTTTGATGGGTATAGACAACTATAGCCAGTCTGTCAGTTTGTTGTACTGTGGTGGCTGTGCACTGTGATGCTAGAAGCTATGACACTGGCATTTCAAATACCAGCAGGGTCACCCATAGTAGAAAGGTTTCAGTGGAGCTTCCAAACTAATGAAGACTGGGAAGGAAGGCCTGGTGATCTGAAAAAAACAAAACAAACAAAAAACAAAACAAAACCAGTGACAACTTCAGGGAAAGCATTGTCTTATATGATGCTAGAAGATGAATCTCTCAGGGTGGGGTAGAGTTGCCTCCTCAAAACAGAGAAATATTTTGTCAAGTATTTAATTTTACTTGGATCCACAATCAACACCTGTGCAAACAGCAATCAAGAAATCAAGTGATGTGCTATATTGGGCAAATCTGCCACAAAAGACCTCTTCAAAGTGTTAAATGTAAAAAGTGTAATTTTGAGGGCTATGGTATTTTTCAGCTGCCTAATGCTGGAAAATGAATGAAGAACTTATACCTCTGAGTTATGGTGTTGGCAAAAAAAATATTGAATACACTATGGAGTGCCAGAAGAACATATCTGCTTTGAAAGAAATATAGTGTGCCTTAGAAGTGAGGATGGCAAGACATCATGTCATAAACCGTATATACTTGAGTATAAGCTGAGTTTTCCAGCATGTTATTAATGGTAAAATCAGGTGCCTCGGCTGATAATCGGGTCAGCTTACACTCGAGTATATACGGTACTTTGGACATATGATAAGGAGGGACTCGACCTGGAACAAGGACATTTTGCTTGGTAGAAAATGGGTTGGTGCAGAGGAAAACCCTTTATGAGATGGGTTGACACACTGGCTGCAACAATGGAGCTCCAACGTAGCAAAGGTTGTGAGGATGGCCCAGGACTGAGCAGTAGCCTCTTCTATTGTACACAGGGTCGCTGTAACAACATAGGCAACAAAACTTTCCCTAAGAAATGTAGTAATCTTCCAGCTGACTTGAATAATAACAGATTATACGGCATATAAAAATATTAATAAGATTTATTTTAATAGAATTAACAAATGCATAATCATTTCAAGAGCAAATGTTTAATTTTAGTAAGTACTATACAGTTTGAAAAATAACTCAGATAGGAACTGAAAATACAGGGAATCCAGGGCGGATGAGCCCTACAGGACCAGTGGTGTGAGTGGCGAAACAGGGAGGGTA